TTGAGAAATACACTCTCCACGATTTTTGGTAAGATGAGTGTTTTTATCTAAAGGCGTCCTTGCCTCTTGATAATCATCCTTATTAAATTTAGTAAGGATTTTATCAACGTAATGGGATTGGCTTAGCGTTAGACCGTCAGGTCCTCTAATTATTTTAATCCCAAGGATTAAGTCGGCCAGCCCCATATCCTTCATGTCAAATTTAGAATTTAACATGCTTTTGGTAGAATTAATCATTAGATTATTGCTACCCACGATGAGTATATCATCCACGTATAAACATAAAATGACATAGCCGTCTACCGTGCTCTTCACATAGACGCATTTGTCACTTTCGTTTATTTTAAACCCATTAATTAACATTGCATGATCGAACTTTTCGTGCCACTGTTTAGGGGCTTGTTTCAATCCATACAATGATTTAATTAATTTACACACTTTCCTTTCTTGGCCTGGAACACGAAAGCCCTCGGGCTGTTCCATATAGATTTCTTCGTCTATATCGCCATTTAGAAAAGCGGTTTTTACGTCCATTTGATGAACTTCCAATTTCCGCAATGCGGCAATTGCTAGTATCATCCTAATGGAATTTATTCTCGTCACAGGAGAATATGTGTCAAAGTAATCATGGCCCTCACGTTGCTTGTATCCTTTGATTACAAGTCTGGCCTTGTACTTATCGATGGAACCGTCCGGTTTCATTTTCCGTTTAAAAATCCACTTGGATCCCAAAGGTTTATTTCCCGGAGGAAGATCAACCAATTCCCATGTGTGATTTTTAAGGATAGAATCCACCTCACTTTTGATGGCTTCTTTCCACATAGGACCTTCAGTAGACGTCACGGCTTCCGTATAAGTCCGTGGCTCATTTTCTACCAAACATGTTAGAAAATCCGGTTCATTTTCTACCATACATGTTAGAATATCCGATTCAAATTCTACCAGGTAGGTGAGAAAATCCGGTCCGAAGGATTTTTCGACTCTAGTATTTTCCATAGCTACGTCAAATGTTCGTTTTGACGTGCTAGGCCCTTCGTTGGACTTGCATGGAAATACATCTTCAAAGAATGAAGCATTCCTTGATTCAATTATTGTGTTTTTATGTACATCCGGATTATTCGAATCGTACACTAAAAACTGATAAGCACTACTATTTTGTGCATACCCAATAAAAATACAATCCACCGTTTTTGGACCTATTTTTATTTTCTTAGGTGTTGGTACAAGCACCTTAGCAAGACACCCCCACACTCTTAAATATTGATAGGAAGGCCGTCTGCCTTTCCACAACTCGTACGGAGTTTTATCATATTTTTTCCGGGGAACCTTATTTAAAAGGTAATTGCTTGTCAAGATTGCTTCGCCCCACATATTTTGTGGCAAGCCCGAACTTACTAGCATCGCATTCATCATATCTTTCAATGTGCGATTCTTTCGTTCGGCAACACCGTTTGATTGAGGTGAATAGGGTGCGGTACGTTCGTGTACTATACCCACACTAGCGCAAAAGTCACCAATTGGTGCTTCATACTCACCACCTCGATCACTCCTAACCGTCTTAATCCTTCGATTAAGTTGGTTTTCCACTTCATTCTTATAAAGAATGAATTTATCGATTGCTTCGTGTTTATTTTTTAATAAATAAACGTAGCTATAGCGAGTGCTATCATCGATAAAGGTAATAAAATATTTATTACCGCCGCGTGTTTGTATTGATTTAAAATCACAAACGTCACTATGAATTAATTCAAGTGGTTCCGTTTTTCTTTCAACCGATTTGAAAGACGTTTTCGTTAGTTTTGCCTCTACACAAACTTCACATTTGTGCTTCACATCAATTGTGAATTTAGGAATGTGCTTCATGTTAATTAATCTACGTATAGAATTAAAATTAACATGTCCTAGTCTACCATGCCACACATTGGAAGACTCAAGCAAGTAAGCAGAAGGGATTTTATTATTATTAATAATAATAGTCATTACATTGAGCTTAAAAAGCCCATCACATGTATACCCCTTGCCCACATACATTCCCTACTTAGACAAAACCAGTTTGTCCGACTCAAAAACCATGCGGAAGCCATGCTTGTTCAACAACGAACCGGAAATCAGGTTTTTGCGTATCTCCGGAACGAACAGCACTTGGTTTAGAGTAAGCTCCTTGCCCGAAGTCATCTTCAGGACCACTTTGCCCACGCCTTCCACCGCGGAATGAGCAGAATTTCCCATCCACACCTTTTCACCATTTGATGGCTCAAAGGTCGTGAATAGCTCCCGGTTTGAGCAAATATGCCGGGTAGCACCGGTGTCCACGAACCACTCCTTGGAATTGGATCCAACGAGGTTAACCTCGGTCACCACAGCCGCAAGGATGATGTCTTCATCCTTTTGCCCACCTTGCACCAAGTTGACTTGAGAGTCCCTCTTCTTCTTGGGTGCCTTGCAATCCGCGGACTTGTGTCCGTTTTTATTGCAATTGAAGCATTTTCCATTGAACTTCGTCTTGGAAACGCCTCCCTTGGGACCGAGCTTGCTCTTCCCATTATTTTTATTTTTGGAGCTTTTTGCATGCTCCACCACGTTGGCCTTGGCGCCATGAACAATTGGGAGTTTCCCATCGTTCTTCCGGTTATCCTCTTCAATCCGCAGACGGAGGATCAATTGCTCCAGGTTCATTTCCTTTCGCTTATGCTTAAGGTAGTTCTTGAAATCCTTCCAAGCCGGCGGCAATAAGTGAATAATTGACGCCACTTGGAATGACTCACTAACCGTCATTCCTTCATCTCGAATTTCGTTGAAGATCATTTGCATCTCCTCAACTTGACTCAAGACCGTCTTCGAATCCACCATTTTAAAATCAAGGAATCGACCAACAACAAATTTCTTTGCGCCGGTATCCTCGCTTTTATATTTGTGGTCCAAAGCATTCCATAGCTCCTTAGCCGTAGCTAATTTGCTATAAACGTCGTACAAAGCATCATGCAGCCCGTTCAACACGTAGTTTCGGCAAAGGAAGTCAGAATGCTTCCAAGCTTCAACCGCGTTGAAAGATTGCGCATCCACCTCACCCCCGGTTGCTACCGGCGCATCTTCGGTCAAGAATCTAGCAAGACCGAGAGTAGTGAGGTAAAATAGCATCTTTTGCTGCCACCTCTTGAAGTTTAACCCGTTGAATTTCTCGGGTTTCTCCACAGAGTTGCTTGGCACGGTCACCATAGGGATAGCCCTTTGGTTGGCCAAAGCAGATGCACCGCGTTGTGAACTATTGTTCACCGGTGCTCCGCTTTCAGAGTGATTGTCGTTCAGAACATTCTGCCCAACACCAATCTCGTTTTCTTGAGAAGTCATTTTCGTTCTTTAACGTTTTTCCGAAAACACAAAAATTAAGTTCGTTCACCAAAGTGACAAACTACGTTTTTAGATTGTTTACCGCAGTACAACAACCAAGGAAAATACGTTTTAAGATTGTATCCGTATGATACAAGCTCAACAAATACGTTTTAAGATTGTATCCGTATGATACAAGCTCAACAAATACGTTTTAAGATTGTATCCGTATGATACAAGCTCAACAAATACGTTTTAAGATTGTTGGGTGTGTTTCGGAAAATAAAGAAAATTAATTAAAATAAATTAATTAAATAAAATGACTAGAGAAAAACAAGAAAGGAGATGAAGCAGAATTAGCCAAAGCTCGTGCTACGCACGATTTCCTTAAAACGTATTTGTTGCCTCCCACGGTGCTAGGAGCGTTGCAACAATCGTTTCCCAGAATACGATGACTACGAACTAATGTTTGAGCACACAAACAAGAGTTCCAGCGAACGAGAACCAAGTATGAACACAGAGGAAATTTGGGAGTAGCTGGAAGAGTTTTTAGCTCAAGAAAACGTGAGGAAAGTGTTGTGCGTTGTCAAACCGTGTCTTTGTTGCAAAGCACCTGCCAGCTATTTATAGGAGGATTTGTTGTGTGTTAAATGGGGTGTTAATGGACCTGAACGTTGGACATCAATGACCAGTCCGTTGGGCATTGAATCGTCCATAAACTGTCCATTTAACGCAGCATTAAAAGAGAAGAACATTGGGTATTAATTGTTGTAACGGAAGAAGTGCGCGACAGAAGACCCCAACAGAACACCCCTTGGAGGGGTTCTGTCCGAAGCCAACAGAACTCCCCTCGGAGGGTTTCTGTTCGAAGCCTTCTGTCCGGAGCACTTCTGGGAAAAAATAAACGTTTCGGGAAGAAAACAAAAATTAACCGTATCTCTTGAGAGATAGATTTTTGGACGGCATTCGTGTCCGCAGGTCGCCCGCGCACACGAGTCGCGGTTTTTCTTCTCCGTTTCGGGATTTGAGACGGCACCCCCCCCCCCCCCCCCCTGCGCGTAAGAGAGAGCCTTTCCCTTTAGGAATCTTAACTCCTTAAAAGAGGCTTCCCTTTATAAGGGGGTGAAAATCCCTTGAGTTTTTCGGTGTGGGATAAAACACACTAGAAACTCATCATTTTTCCCAGTTTTTCCATTTCAACGAGTGAACTTCGAGAATCAATTTCTCATTCACCCGTTATCCGTTTTGAGTGTACCACATATCGAATTGTAGCCCTTAACAAGGGCAATCCGAAACCACTTTGACCCGACCCAAATCGGAAGTGGACCCCACTCAAATAATTGCCCCAAAATGACCATTTAATGCAATTTTTAACACGTTTTTCCAACATAATACTCCGTAATTAGATTGAAAATTATACTTCCTCCGTCCCATTAGAAGGTTCCCAATTTCTTTTTTGGACGTTCCGTTAGAACGTTCCCATTTCTATTTTAAGAAACAATTAACAATCTTAAGTAACAAATTAATCATTAAATATTAAAAATAATGCATTTATAACATCACAGTTATGAATAATATATACCTATTAAAATTATTTCTCAAAATGTAGTCAAAGTAAGCTAATTTGCGCTTATTTCGCTAATTTGCGCGTCGTCCTTCCTTCAGATTTGAATCGCGGAGATGAGATGTATATTTGACCAAGAATGTTTATTTAGCAAACACGTGGCATGCGTAGAGCGGTCAACCTGGAAATTCCCTCTGCGGAACTCTTTCACAATTCCCAATCACACACGCTGACCCAATCATTTTTACATTCTCATCTGCAGGATTCAAATCTGAAGGAATGACGACGCGCCACCTGTTCTCACTCACGCGCCGTCATCGGCGCCTGAGTTCATCTTCCCTGAGTCAGTACACTCGATTCGCCTCCCAGTTAGCTCATGCTACGGAAGCTCCGGCAGCGCCCGCTCCACCTCCTCCCGACCTCATGATCTACGACCGATTAGCGGAGGGAGTAAAATCTAAGATCAGGCGACTCGAGAGGCCAGAACCGAGGTTCCTTCGGTACAATTCTCCGCACCCGTATCAAACCGATCATACCTCGATCCTCTCCGCTCCGGAGACTAAAGTGACCACTCTCCCTAACGGCCTGCGTATTGCGACTGAGTCCAATCTCGCCGCAAGTACCGCAACGGTAGGTGTGTGGATCGACACCGGGTCTCGGTTTGAGGCCGACGAGAACCACGGCGTGGCGCATTTTCTCGAGCACGTAATTTTCAAGGGGACTGAGAAACGGCCTCGCAAGGCTTTTGAGGAGGAGGTTGAGAATATGGGAGCGCACATGAGTGCTTTCACTTCGAGGGAGATGACCGCGTACTCTGCCAAAGTCCAGGGCAAGAATGTTAATAAGGCCCTCGATCTTTTGTCTGACATGATTCAGAACCCGGCTTTAGAGAACAAAAAGATTAACAGCGAGCGCAAAGTGATTCTCCGAGAAATGCAAGTGGTATTAAATGTTTGCCTTTTGGTTCGTCATTTACATTGCAGCCATCTTTTATTTTTTTCATTGTTTGTTGTTACTAATGCATTCGATTGAGGGGTGAATAAGATGCATCTGCTATCAATGATCGAGCCTTATCCGGTCTTTCTAAGTGTGTGCTTGCGTTTCTAGTAGTACGTGAGAGTTTCTAGCTTGAGTAGGAGATTATGGCTTGTGATTGAAGGACTTACAGAAAGGCTGGATTACATTATGGGTTGTTGTCTTAACAGGGAATTGGAAATTACTTCTTATAAGAAAACTATGATCCACAGGATCAAGCTGGTTTGTCTATTGGAGGGGAGACCACGAACATGGATAAAGTCTCTAATTGTTGGCATAATCTCTCTCATAATTGTTTCCCCCCTTATTCTCTACACTCGGAGTGCATTGTTCTTGAGTCATTAAGGGTTTTATGTTTGCCATACGCTAGTAAAAATCAACTACTGTTGAACAAGCTGTTTTCTACCATAGGCAGTTCTTTTGTTACTTTTATATGGTTAGCGATTGAGTATTTGAGTTATATACATCGGTTATGCAACTATCTTAAATACCTCAGTGTTTGTTAATTCGGTTTCCTTTAAATAGTTAAAAAAAATTGGTGTAGGGTGAAGCAGATCCCAAGAAAATCATTTTTGATCAATTACATGCCACTGCATTCCAGTACACTCCTCTGGGAAGAACTGTTATTGGATCTATGGAGAGCATTGAGAAACTTTCTAAGGAGGACATTCAGGACTACATTTCGACTCACTATGCAGCTCATAGAATGGTATTGGAATATTGCCAATTGAGTTGTGTTATGGCCATACAGTTATACATATATTTTGAAACTTATCTACTTCTTGGGATATGTTTTGCTAAATTTTTTGTGAGTCCACCAGTACTTCATACATACCACATTCATTGTAGGTTATTTCTGCTAGTGGAGCTGTTAAACATGAGGACGTTGTTGAACAAGTGAAGAAACATTTCATAAAACTGTCTTCCAATCCTGTTACCACTTCTCAGCTGGTTACAAATAGCCCTGCAATATTTACTGGCTCAGAGGTGTGCTAGGAGTATTAGAATTGTGATATGATTACCAGTGTCATATAGTCTTGACACGCATTTTTTGTGAACAACAATTATAGGTCCGAATGATTGATGAGGATCTGCCTCTTGCTCAATTTGCCATTGCCTTCAGCGGAGCATCATGGACCGACCCTGATTCCATAGCTTTGATGGTCATGCAAAAAATGCTTGGGTCTTGGGACAAAAGCTGTGGAGGGGGAAAGCACATGGGGTTGGTCCTTATTATTTCAAGTAATTGCCCTAAATAGGAGTAAATCATACTCTTTTCCCCTAAATAGGAGTTCATGTTTAATATTCCCTAAACAGGACTAAACATTACCTTTCTACCCTTAATATACTCCGTAATTAATTAATATAAATAATTGCCCCTCTAGTTCCCCTGCATAACCAAGGTTAGTCCGTTGGTGGTGGGGAAGTCCGATGGTGGCGGCGGAATTCCGGCGACCGGCAGCGGCAGCCCAGTGGTAGTGGCAAGCCTAAAACCCGTGCAGGGGTATTCTTGTCCAATCACAAAAAACTCCAATTTGTGGAATTATAAACATCTACTCCTATTTTTGCCTTTTTGACATGTTTTACTCCTATTATGGGAATTCTCTCTATTATTTCTTATTACAAACACTTTGTATATCATTTTGCTTGGTTTGGTAGAGGAGAATTTTATGGACAAATACCCAAAACTAAGTGGTTGCTCCGTTGATCAGAATTAAATTACCGGGAGTTGAGTTATAAGGAATTGAATTTCTGATAATTAGATAAAATCATGCTCTGACTTTTGGTGCAAAACCCATGGACCATGGTGCCTGTAGAGATATATTTGTGACACCACACCACCAAATTTAGCAAAGCTAGAAATTTAGAAGGAAAAAACTGCCGAATGGCCATTACATATGACACCACACCATCAAATTAGGAAAAAGAACCTTGTTGTCGGGGGGTCTTATCCTTTTTTTAAGGAAAAAGAACCTAGTCATATCTTGTGAAAGAGACCATCTTTTGATATACATGTGGTTCTTTTCTCTCTATAAGTCTGCAGTTTTAGGAATTGGGGATTCTTATGAACGTAATTGCTAACAGAATTTATCCCAGACATGGGTATAACACCCATTTACCGGGAGTTCTCTTCTTTCTGCTAATAATAAACCATTACAAGTGAGGCCTAAAATATACTCCGTATAACACAAGCGCTAGATTTCAATTCATTCTTCTCTACTGTACCCCCTTCAGTTGGGGGGTATTGCTAAGAACTTCTCTCAGTTAGCTTGCACTTTGTGCCTGTGTGGGGCTTTGCTATTACTCATGCACTTTTATAATGATATGCGAACAGTTCCCATCTCGTACAGAGAGTGGCAATTAATGAGATCGGTGAGAGTGTGATGGCTTTCAACATGAACTATAAGGACACAGGGCTTTTTGGTGTCTATGCAGTAGCTGAGGTGAGTGCAATGTTCAGTGAAAAGTTGTATGTTAGAAATTCATAGAAATAATGGTACTCTTTAAACAATTAAAGCTAAGGCATACAATTATGAAATATAGTTGTTCATTCCATCTTCAAATCGTTTGTGGCTGTTTTCTTAGTGCACCATTGTAATCTCTGTTTATCTGGATCATGTTTTTCATTTGTAAGACTATATGACGTTAGGACTCATCAAGACATCAAGTATCATTTTAGTACTTCTTGGTGATGAGATCTCATAGATACATTGGGGAAAAGACCTTTATGACCGTATTGTCATGAACACGTTCTTGGGGTTCATTGTATTACTTGCTATAAGACATTTGTTTTCCGTCTGTATTTTGATGCGACTCTGAACACTCAGCTTTTTGCACATAGTTCTCTGCTGATCAAAATTGCATACACACACAATCTTACACAATAGTTGTGAAAGTAGGGATTCTCACAAGAACTATTGAGTTGTGAATTTCTTTTTGTATGTCTGTGCTTTACCAGCGTGATTGCTTGGATGACTTAGCTTACTCGATAATGTATGAGTTATGCAATTTGTGCTACCGTGTATCCGAAGCTGATGTCATCCGTGCTCGTAATCAGGTTCTTGCCACTGACTACTACTCGTTTTTTTTCTTTTGTCGCTAAAATTAGCCTCCTCATGCAATAACTTTGCTCTTTTGCAGCTCAAGTCTTCTTTAATGCTCCAAATTAATGGATCTAGCGGCACTGCTGAAGATATTGGACTTCAGGTACTACATAATGTGTTATTCTTAGCTTAAGATTTCTATAGGCTGGTGAACAACTGATGAAGTGTATAGCTTTGAAATTTAACACCGGGTTTACCTTATAGATAGTGGTTGTAGAGGTTGTGTGAATTTTGGAATTTTCCTCAAAAGAATGAGTGAGGGCGTGAGGATATTTCTCACACCCTTACTTAAAAGGGTATTTCTCGTCAAATGTGTAGCATTCCCAGAACCTTTACTTGAGAATTGAGATTATCCCAGTTGCCTAGATTAATATTAATTCTTTGTTGTAGCACTCCCAGAACCTTTACTTGAGAATTGAGACTATCCCGGTCGCCTAGATTAATCTTAATTCTTTGTATGCTATCTCATTATGCCATTCAACCATCATGTAAAGGTTTGAGTGAGTTTTGGAATCTCCCTCAAAAGAATGAGTGAGGCTGTGAGGGTAACTCTCACACTCTTACTTTTAAGGCATTTCTCCACAAATGTCTAGAAGCATTCCCGGAACTTTTAGTTGAGCCCATCTTAGTCGCCTAGTTTAATCTTAATTGTTTATATGCATGATGCACAGTAATAGGAGTTCATGACTAATGTCCCAAGTTGGTACGCCCTTACATTGTGAGTGAAAATTGTGCAGTTAATAACCTATGGCCGAAGAATTCCATACGCTGAGTTATTTGCTAGGATCGACTCCGTGGATGCCAGCACTATAAAAAGAGTTGCCAACCGTTTTATTTTTGATCGGGTAAGATCTCTCATGTCTGAGTATATATTGAATTAAAAATGAGTAGTAGAATAGTAACAGTAATACTACCAGTAACGGTCGGTAACAATAACAGTAAGAGTAAGAGTAAGAGTAAGAGTAATAGTAATAGTAATAATAATAAAAACCGTGTCACGTTTCAAGCATCAATGCTGTACATAGATTAGATGGTCATTAGTCATGTTATTATTTTTCTTTTTAGATGGTTAATGTGATTATTATTACATACAGGACGTAGCAATAGCAGCGAGGGGACCGATTCAGGGCTACTTACCGGACTATAATTGGTTTAGACGCAGAACATACTGGCTGCGCTACTAAACCCCTTTATTATTATTACTCTTTTCTTTGCCAAACTTTTTTTGTTCCACACTACTGTGTTTATTCTGGTGGTTTTGCTTTGTCATACGCAGTGATTAATAATTTGGGGGCATCATAATTCATAACACAAGTCCGCAAAAGGTTGTGTGCCACTGTAAATAATATGGGGGATCCACTTATTTCTTCTCTTGTACAAAAACGGTGGGGGGTCCATCGCCGTATCGGTGATCATTATATACTACGTATTACTTTAATTTGCTCTCTACAGCTCTACTGTACTTGCAAACTTATAGTATCAAATTCTTAGCTTACAAATTTATATTCTGACGGGTCCTGTTAATTATGACCCAGCTGAAGTTCTTAATTCTTAAATGTCTTGGATGATTTTTATCTTAAATATATGTGCTTATGAAGCTCTTAATATCAAGTACAATTTTTTTTAAAGAAAGTTTATGGAGTCCAAGAGGGACTAAACTTCTAAAGCAAAACACCAATAATTACATCGACAAACAAAAAAGATTGTTCACGGAGTTAAAACATAAAACGAGTTGTGTGTTAATAACACTATTCATACTCACTTTTAAGCTTTTTGCACTATTAGTACTCATTCTATAAGATTTTCTAGTTTTAATTCTCAAACTATCATGAAAGTGCCCACTGTAATCCATCAACTATAGGAGTGTTTGCTAAACAGTCTATCAGTCATTTTTTGACTTTTTAGATTGACAAACAACAATGAGGCTTAAGGCTCACATACTTATGCATAAATGAGCAACTTAAACAAAGCAACTTAAGTGTGCCCCTTGACCAGACGAGAGTCCATACTCGCAAAGCAAATGGAAACAAAAAAACTATTGGGATTCGTCGGGCTATCATTCCGGCCCATAAATCCCCCTTGGGCCTTGACCTCTAGCACCTTGTCCAACACGAGGGTCTACAAAATCAGGCTCAAAGGATAAACAAACATCAACAAGGATGAGGGTCCTAGACCCTTCATTGAGAGCCACCTCTTCCACCATCAAGCAGCTTGCAAACAAACACCACGTGTCGCATTCTACCACACAACAGCACTCTTGTCCATAGACTAGCTTACACGTGTATGTGCATTTAATGCACATAGCTTTTATTATTAGTATAAATATCCCCATTAAGATGGGTGTAAAAGGTTCGTGAATCATTTATTAAAATAGATATCTCTCTCTAAACTTAGCTCTCCATTTTCTCTAGATACCATTAGCAGTATTCCGGTGAGCTATCATCTAGTGATTGCATTGAAAGAAATAACAATCAAGTTAGTATCCTAATCATTATTGAACACTACCAACGACTTGAAAATGGGGAAAACCAAAGGTTTCAAGCAATCCATTGACGCCTAGGCTCTCCAGGACTCTCGTACCCACTAAGAGAAGTATGGAGATGCCACAAACTTGTCCTTACTAAGGAGAGCAGCACAGAATGCCCTCGTCCAGAGCAAGATTGATCAAGCAGCCGGCCTCAGCGTCTAGATTCGGACCAAAGCTCCTATCGCTCGGCTAAAGATCAAGACGGGGTGAAAGGAGATGATTGATCCCGCCCAGGGTTAGCAAACCACCTACCCGCCCCAATGATTGATGCTCAGACGACACTCGATGTCATCCAAACCAACCTCGCTCCGAACCTGATAGCTTTCATGATCATTACCCTTATCCCCCAATCAAGAGAGAGAACGTGACACCTTCGCCTCCTCCACCACCCCCTTTCTCGGTCAGCACCTAGTTGGGCATCGGAATGATAAGAACATTGTTCCCGAGGACACCTCTTCGAAGGAGGCACCCTCATCAAATGACATGCACCTCAACCTTGAATGAGGGCAACCTTTAGCATTCAACAAGTTGGGTGTCCTGACACGCCGACCAATGCCTTAGAGGCTTGGATATTGAAAGGACAAGTTGAGACCTCATTCCTCCCTAAAGACCTGGAAGTCAGTGTGTCAAATAGTAGACAAACAATAATCCCTCGATGAAGGGAAGAAAACGCTCCATCAGGAGGATACAAGGCACAAGATCAATGAGACGCATGCCAAGAGGGCGCAACCCTGTCACCAAGAGGAAGTTACTACAATGGGAAAAACCGCAAGGATGAGTTGATTGCCCACCTCGAGAGGACCCTATTCGAGAATAAGGCATGTCAGTGGTGGCCCGTCTGAGTAGAAACAACGGCCAACCTTGACCCCATCATCACCTCCTTGCTTCAGAAGGTCGATGACCTTCAGCGGAAGGCGGCCAATGGGTTGGGGGGAACCCATGATTCAAGTATAAACAAGGACACCCTTCACCTCAAGCGTCCTCTCCATCACCGTTTGGGACAAATGCAGGGTCCAGACTATCAAACCCTATGATGACAAAATCAACATCCAGGATCACTCCAGCCGTTATCAGAACAACATGGTAATGGTCAATGCCTCAGACGAATACCTTTGTCATTGGTTCCTCTCCACTCTTGAGGGACCAACTTACAAGTGGTTCAATGAGCTGCCCGAAGGGTACATTGACTCTTGACAAGATCTTGCCCAACGATTCTTGATGCACTTCGACAGGCGATGACAGGCCAAGAGTCTTTTTTCCACCTCATCATCGTTAAGCAAAAGATGGATGAAACCCTCTGTGACTTCTTAGAGCGATGGAGGCATGAGGTGCTCCAAGTCAAAGGATCCAACGATCGAATGCTCATCATCCTCCTCTAGAGAATCCCCTGGAACAACAACTTCACCACTAGTTTGAACTCACCTATATTTAATAATTTATTCTAATAGATATCATTGTTAGTTCAGATTATTTTTATGAACACTCTTAGCAGGGATTGTACAAATATCTAAAAGTATGTATTTTTTTTTAGAGAAGAAAGCTTATCTTATAATTGAATAAATCATCATCCTGCCAACAACAACAAACCTTTCCTACCCTCTGACATGCTTCAAGCCAACAAGCCCACTCACTCTCTGATCAGACATAGAATAGACCATCCAATTATGAGTGAGACTAATCGCTAAACATACAAGTGATTCTAAGCTACTATCCGCCAATACAACTTGATTGCTTCCATAGAAACTTCTACTTACTGAAATGAAAAACAGAAACAACCTACCATCCCTAGAGTCAAAAGCAACAAAAAATAAAGTACTTAAACAGACATAATAAATTAACCGAAAAAGAAGTAACTAGCAATCATCTGATGAAGCTTCTCCGCTCCATCTTTATTCTGATACTTCCGCGAGATAATCAGCAGTGTGTCACGCGAGTTGCAGAGCTGCAACTCGCCTCCTTCCCGTTTTTTGTCCCCTCACTCCACCTCCATGTTATTGCTGATTGGCTCCTCCTCCTCTTGTTCAACTCTCCTAAGCTTTTGCTCAACTTTGTATTCTGTCTGCACCTGTGTTTTTCCCGTAGCCAAATCACTTTGTCTGTCAGCATTAGAACTGACCGCTTCCCCCTCTCTGCTTTGAGATTGCCCCTTACCGACCGGTACTAGTCATGTGCTGCCTCTTGCCTGGACTCTCTTGCCTCCTGCCTAAATTTATGTACTCCCTTTGTCCCATAAAACTTTGTCATCTTTCCATTTTGGTACGTCCCAAAAAACTTTGCCACTTTCCCTTGTAATCAATTATTTTGTGGTCCATGTTATTTCTATCTCCTTTGCACAAACATCAACCACATAGTTTTTACTTTATTATTCTCTGTGTCGGTCAAATATGCCAAAGTTTTAAGGGACGGAGGTAGTATTATTCTTTTGAATTTTTTCATTTTCTTAAATGTCATTTTTAATAGTGTGTGCCTTAAATGTCCTGAAATACAAAATCAAAATAAAAAGTTCGATTCGGTTCGGTTTTGCATTTTAAAACTTGAACCCATGGCCTTACAAAATATAAATTGGAAGTGGATTGTTGAGTTAAGTATTAAAATTATGGAATTTTATCAATCCAGGACCCGAAAGATAAATGAATTATCAATCCAGGACCCAAAAGATGAAATGCATCGATATAAGACTCGAATGATGAAAAACTATCAATTTAGGACCTGAATGATTGAAAACAATCAATCTAGGACCTAAGTTGTTATAAATTTTAGTATTATTTTTTATTTTAAAATTTTTAAATATTATTTAGTTTTATTAAACTAATGAACTTTTGTGAAGAAAAGTTTATCAAAAATTAGTAATGGAATTAATAAAAAATTAAATAAATCAAAACCTATGAAATGTTAGGTCCTAGATTGATAACTTTTTATCATTTGAGTCCTATATCGACACATTTCATCTTTTGGATCCCGGATTGATAATTAATCTATCTTTCGGGTCTTGAATTGATAAAATTCCTAAAATGGAATTATTTACACACTTTTGCTTTCAAACTATGGGTGAATTTTGTTCTTTTTTTGTTTTGACCAAAACTAAATACAAAACCAAAGTAAAAAAATCGATTTGTTTCGGTTTTGCATTACAAAATTCGAAACCGCAATTTGATTGATTCGGTTTTGTATTTCAAAATTTGAAATTGTGGTTTGATTGGATTGGTTTGTTTCGATTCGAGTTTAGTTTTTTGGCTAAAGGGTCAGATAGGCCCTTGTACCTTTCCGGATTGTTAAATTTGCCCCCCGAACTCAAAAAAGCTCCAATTGGCGCCCTGAACTCCATAAAAAGATTCAAATTTTACTTTTTGCAAGTCACAAGCCGGTCACCGCCACATCACCCGGTAGGATTCCAACTGTGCATGTGACATGACAACTTAGGGGGGCAAATAAGCCCCTGAACCCGACTGAAATGTTCAATTTACCCCCTCAACCCTTAAATTTTTTTTGACATTTTTTAGGGTTGAGGGGGTAAATTGAACGATTCGATCGGGTTCAAGGGCTTATTTGACCCCCTAAGTTGCCACGTCACATGCACAGTTGGCACCCTACCGGGTGACGTGGTGGTGACCGGATTGAAACCTGCAAAAAGTGAAATTTGAATATTTTTATCGAGTTCAGGGTGCCAATTGGAGCTTTTTTGGGTTGAGGGGGCAAATTGAGCAATCCGAAAGGGTACAAGGACCTATTTGACCCTTTAGCCTAGTTTTTTTACTAAAAATATTATCAATTGATTTAAAATGATACAATAGTTCAGGGCGATCAACCGTATTACTTAAAAAATGCAAGCATACTAGACCAAAAAGACAGAAGTATTAATACGTCTTGACAAGTACGTGAGGAACATAAACTTTTCAAGTTTTTTTTAATAAAATGTAAAGTAAAATTATATATTATCTATAAAAAGGTAAACAAGATTTGTTTTTTAAATTGTGTGTACCTTAAT